TGGCTGAAATTGGTTCACCTAAAGATAGATCTCTTAGCTGAAAACTGAAAACTTGTGTGCTTAAAGTTCCTTCTACCTAATGACCATTTTGCCAAAAGCTCAGATCCCTTTTGGGTATTTTTTTTTAGCCATTTAGGTATTCTATTCTTTTTTTGTTATGCTTTCGGTATTTCAAGGATTTATATCCATCCAAGAATACTTCTGAGTTATTATCAGCAACAAATTTATCAAATTTGCAGCACTTTGTAAATGATGAGATTGCTTTCTACCTTTATGAATATCTTTCTATGTTATCTACTTTTCAAACACTTCTTTAAAGAGCTTAAAGTTTCTAGCAATAAATATAATTGGTACAGACATTTTGCGTATCATTTTTTGTGTTTCTTAATCCAATATTCTTTTACAAATTAGATGCCTTGAAAAAACGTAACAAAGTTCAATATGATTTTATACTTTGGTCTAACTTCTAAAAAAAACCAATATATTCTAAACAAATGAACAGGTATGTGGCATATTCCGTTGACTAACAATTCAAGGTTATACAGACAACAGCAATAAAATGTGAAAGGGTGAATCTGCTAAATCCTTTTGAAAATGCTGCAGATTTGATAAATATTTTAGACCAACTACCTCTGGGTAAATTGGTTTTAGGCAAATTAATCAGATAATCTTGCATCTTTAGTCTTCATTCTCTGTCACATAGAGTTTCATACTGGAAATGACGACTCTTGAGAACAGAAATTCCACATTTAGGGGTTCTTCTAAGATAACTATGCCAGCCAACCTGGGAATTGCATAGAAGAAGACTTTGAGTGAGATTATGAGTGAGAGTAAGAGTGTGGATTCATACCACTGACCGCCAGAGTGCGGAATGCACTTTTTTGGAGGAATAAATGTTCTGATACTAGATTACTTGTTCTACAGCTAGGATTACTTCTGAACTATTATTATTAAATAAGTGAATACAAAGACTCCGTGACTGGGGAATTTTCTCACCAGGGTGCTCCAGGCCCGGGAAATCCAGGGAAGCATGTATATAGCTTTACATCTATCCCTTTGGTTACCCTTGGGGGTCTTGTCCACTCTGTAATTCTGACCCTTTGTTTCTTACTCTGATTTTGACTACCATCTGCTGCTAAATGCTGATTCCTTCCTAAGTCTATGCTCACCTGTCCCCCAAGACTGTTCTTGCCAGTGGGGCTATTCTCTCCTTTCTGAGGAAAAACATTACTAACATCTGATGAGGACAAGCCCAAGGAAGGCAGGCCATGGCAGAATAGCAGCCCATCACCCCATATCATCACTGACAGGCTCCCAAGTGTACCCTGAATCGCAAGAGTTCCCCTTCCTCTTATTCACTGGGAGATTACTCATCCTTATTCTATTTAATATTTACAGTCGATAGTGAAAGATTCATAGGGTGCTGCCAAGGATACAGTAACAGGTAGACCATGCTTGGCAACTCGCCACCTGATTTCCATCAACAGCCACTAGGCCTGAAAATGGGGTAAGGGAGAAAATGGAAGAATTCTGGATCCATTTTGTTTCTCTTCAGATTATAGTCATAGAATGAATGGGTCAAGCTTTCACAGAAGATGCTATTTGCTATGCCTAGCCCTGTTTGCTAACAGGCCTGAATATGGTTTATCAAGAATGAGGCCGGTGGCGGTTCTCTCTCTGCTTTCTTAGGAATCTGTTTTCCCCTTCACCATCTGGAGTTGTCAAGGCCAGGGAAATGGTAAGAGCCTGTTTATAATGAACCTGGAGACTGTCCTCAGCCAAGGAGGAGGTAGAGAAAGCTAATTCCAGGCACATAAAGCCAGTTGGATGAAGTCCTTGAGATTGTACCTACACAGAAGGGAATACAAGGGGGGAAGGAGACTACTAGGACTCAGATAAAAGGATTGGAAAAAACAAGGTAAAATAAAGCATTTTTTATTTCGTTTATATTTTTAGATCCATACCTCAGCTGGCCTGGGGTCATTCAGAGCCCTAATGGTGAGGCTCCACGACAAGGACAAGGGTCCAACCAATTAAAGCTCTCTCCATGCTCTCCTCCCTTGCAGCAAGGAAGACCTAAGACTGGGCCTCTGCTGTGACAATTGCTTGCATAGGGCTCTTGGAATAGCCACATTTCACTCTAGTTGTAAAGGACTAAAGATTGACCTTGGAAATATGAGCAAATTTGTTACTGGGATGTGTAGATTAGACCAGTCTAACTGTGATGATAGGAGGGTCATCAGAGGCAAATTCTGTCCACTGTGAGTATTGTCACCTAAGCTGAGAAAGGATACTGTTGGACGTGGTTCCATAGTGTAGCGGTTAGCACGTCTACTTTACACACAGGTCCTGGGTTCGCGCCCCAGTGGAGCCACAGTCCATGGTCTACGGCCATGCCACCCTGAACAAGCCTGATGTCTGATTTCGGAAGCTAAGCAGGGTCGGGCCTGGTTAGTACTTGAATGGGAGACCACTTAGGAAGACCAGGTGCTGTAGGCATAAATAATAATAAATAAAAAAAAATTAAAGGATACTGCTGACCTATGTGAAGAGAACCAAGGTGCTATCTAAACAGGGAGAAATGGGTTAAAAGGAATATATTAAAATGTTCTGGTTAGGCTTGTATCCAGGACACTTAGAGCCAAGTGGAGTATGATTTTAGAGACAACCCAGTCACCTATTTTACTGAATGAAAAAAGAATGTTGAAGGGACTTACCCAAGGTCACACAGCTAGAAAATGACTTCTAATTCTTGAAGACCAGTTAAGAGCTTATTTTCCCTCTTCCCTCCCACCTCATCACTGGGACTCCCAGGGTGCAAGTAAACTATAAATGAGATAAGCACTTCATTATGACAGATATTTAGGGAAAGTTTTAGTGGGAAAGCCAGGGAACACAAAAAAACAATAATGAAAACATTTAGTTCTTACTAGCGCTTTTTTTGTTAATTAGAATTAGCAGTAGCCAAAGTATCTTGAAAAGCACATTAGAAGCAAAAGAAATATATGGCAGGAAAGTCCCTGCCCCTGAGGAGGTCACAGTCTAGCCAGAGAGACAAATACATAAAATGCCTTGAGAAGATTGCAAGCAACATGTCAACAAGTGCAAAGTAATTGAGTGTTACAAACAAAAAACTTAATGCTGCAAGGTACAGATGATGGGTGAGACTGTTTGGCTTAGATTGTAGATCAGAAAGTCAAGGCCCAAAGGCTAAATCCTGCCCCATCCCCCAATGCATTGAGTTCGGCCCAGTGGCAATTATTTTTTTATAATATCAATTTGAACACTAGTTGAGGAGGGAAAAACACCAGCTAATAAATACAGAAAGAATGATAGAATTTGAAAAACAACGTTTTACAAACTTTAATAAAATTATTTATTCTTGCAAAGATTATTAATTGGTGTTAAAATCCATAGGTGAAATGGTTAGTAGACAACTGGACATTCATATAGTGCCAAGTAACACAGCTGACAATCTTGAGGGCAGAAATGTAACTAACTGTATGTTGGAAGTATTAGACTGTCATCACCTATTTCCTAGAATGGGTCTTAGTATCACTCACTAACCAATAGACCAATTCTGGTATAAGGCAATTACATAACTCAACCCAACCTAGCAAATATTCTAGCTGCTCCCCACCCCAAAAAGAAATATTAGATATAATTACAGGAAATACTGGGGATAGAGAAATAAACTAAAGGACACTAGGAGGAAACGACTGGACAAATCAAGGAGGTGAGATTCTGCAGGGCAACTGGCCAGCTCTGAGCAAGTCAGTGTGATTTTTTTTTAAATAGGCAAAACCGTTAGATTAAAGAAACTTAAGGTATATATTAACAATATAATACATGGTCTTTGATTCCCTATTGGTTTAAAAAAGTTGCTATAAAAGATAATGGGTCAATTAGAAAATTTTTAATATGGGATTAGATGAGGTACAAATTTGTTAAAATGGAAAGGTCAAAATCTTTAACAAAATGCCAGTTCCAAAACCATATATACAGGGTAATCATATTTTGTTTTTAAAATGTCTATATATTTATGAAAAAAGATCTGAAAGGATATGCACTGAGGTGTTAATAGTGGTACTCTCTGGTGAAAATATGTTTTTTGTTGTTGGCCTTCTATTTTTGTATAAATTGAAATACTTTCTATTTTTTATACAATTCATGTTACTTCCTCTGTAAGAATAATAAACTGTTACAAATAACTGGTTGCCAACATTGACAGTTCAGGATATTTCACATAAAAATCTGGATATTGTATACAAAGAACTGGGTTTCTAAGATTTTTCTGAATAATCAGAAGATCTGTCACCCCGGGCTTCCATGCCCACAAGGCAGCAATTGGTTGGAACTGAGTGGTGGCTGCTCCTTTATTCAGTGTATTCCTTCCTTAGTTTGTCACAATCCCTACCATTCTTTCCTCTGTGCCCTTCGCGTATTGCTTATCTGCCTGGCTCCTGCAGACATCTGAGTAAGTAATCCCTGATCTGTATGATCCTAATGGGCTCCTCATCCATACAGCCTCTCATTATCAATCATTTAAAGGTACCAATAAGTTAGTTGCTCAAGAAAAGTATCCATTCCAGAATTATCTGTTGCATTATAAGGCAATCCAGTCATGGGAAACCTGGATGTAATACTTAATCTACTTAGCTACTATGGTTGCATACTGTAAATTAGTTTAGCAAAATTTCTTTTCGGTAAATGGCATCTAGAAAGTATACTAAATTTCTAACTTCTTAATGTTTTGATTCTTCTTCTTCTTCTTCTTCTTCTTTTTTGTTTTTTTTGCCTCAACACTTTAATCCTAGGAGGCATTTCAAAATTTACAATGTACATTATTCCCAAGCATGAAACTCCTAACGCCCTTTGGTTGGTTTGTTTCTCCCACTGGTTTTGGTACAATTTTTAAAGGAGAAAATCTCTTTCACATGCAACTCAGTATAAGACAGTGTCACTATCATTTTAAAATCCAGGGAACTACTTTTATCAGCCAACACTTTAGTCCTAGGAGGCATTTCAAAACTTACAATGTACATTATTCCCAAGCATGAAACTCCTAACGCCCTTTGGTTGGTTTGTTTCTCCCACTGGTTTTGGTACAATTTTTAAAGGAGAAAATCTCTTTCACATGCAACTCAGTATAAGACAGTGTCACTATCATTTTAAAATCCAGGGAACTACTTTTATCAGCCTGGCACATGTTTTCGCATTACAGCAGCACACTCAATCGTTATAACAAGAACTGCACACCTTGTGCTTCATAGCTAGCTTTTCAAAATGATACTAGTCGTCTTCTTCTGAATCAATTTCCTTTACTGTCTCATATTCCTTTGGTAAAAATTGTTTCAATCTGTTCCATTTTTTGAGCCAAATTTCTCAGCTTTTCTTTAAGATCTAAAATTTCCTATTGAGCCTTGTTTATATCCTAGTTCACAATAGTGTCTCAGAGTAAAATCAAGCTCATTCCAGATTGTACAACAAAAGTTTCTATGAACAGACAAGCAACCCTTGAAGCCACAAAGGGCTAGATTTGAAATCCCCTTAGAAGGGGTAAGCAATTGCAAAAATGGCACATTATGAACATTTGTTCTAAAATTTTTATTTGATGTCATAGGTTGATTACATATTTTTATCTACTTGTTTTCTCCTTAAATCATGTACTTACAATGGGCATGAAATTTTGTAGCTTAATCATCAATAGTCATGGTTCTGAATACCTTCATTTTCCAGTAAACACCCTTGAAAATAGTTCTAAAATCTCTTGGCTGTCTGTAAAATTTTTATTCCTGAAACTAGTTTCTGGGTCCAAAATACCATAATATATTCCTGCTACTTGTCTTCAATACTTTCAAAGTGGTATGGCTTTTTTTTTTTCTAAATAATCACACAATTAAGTGTGGTTCCACAGTCCAATGGCTATTTTAACGTCCCACCTTAAAAACTGGTTATTTAAGCCCAAATTTTCAGTGTGAGAACATATTTTAGTCACAAGTTTCCATTAGTTTGATATATAAAAGACTAAATACTCACTTGAAATTTCTATCTTTGGAGCATCATTTTGTCTTCTGGCTAGAGTGTGGGAGGCAGAGTCCCTGGAATGTTCTCAGCAAATCTCCATTCTTCTCTGTGACTCTAAACAATGCAGCAAAGGAATGTCCAAGTTTGAAAGATTAAGTAGACTTTTTCTCAAGACTCCCATTTACATTTATCAAGTTAAAACATATACATGGATTTTTAAAAAGTATTTGATCGAGAGCAATGTCTTCAAGAAGGTAGAGCTAGATAGTGGTTAGGAGTTATGCCTAATTTAATCTTTCTATACCCCTCCCCCACCCCTCCACCAGAGTCTAGCTCAAGAATACTTGACCATGTTCTTGGATTTATCATTAAAGAACATTTAAGAAGTGAGTGATTGTATTTTGCATATGACAGAACAGGTGAGATGAACACTGATGAAGAGACAAGGCTATAAAGGATAAGCATTCCACCGAACAGACAAAACTATATAAGGTATTAGCACTGCGGAGGTGGTCAGAAATTCATTCTTTCAGCAAATACATACCCCTGTATTCCAAGCACTGAAACAGGGAACTTGGGGTCATTAAGGAAGCATCTCCTTAAATATAAACCCAGACAAATTAAGGTTTTAAAGAGGATTCCCTACTTCTCAGCAATAAAAAGACTAATTAAAAAAATTAATTATTGGTGTGAGCACCAACATATATGAATCTCAAAATTAATTATATTGAGTGAAAAAAGCCAAAAAAGAGTACATCTTTATCCGATTCCATTTACAGAAAATTCTAGAAAGTGCAAATCTGTAGTGACAGAAAGCAGATCAGTGGTTGGGACAGGCCAGAGAGAAATTATAATGGGGCAAAGTAAACATTTAGGGGATGATGCATATGTTCACTATTTTGATTGTGGTGATGGTTTAACAGATGTATAGTTATGTCAAAACTTAATAAACTGTACACTATAAATAATGTATGGCATCTACAGCCATGCACCCTGAACAAGCCTGATCCTGTCTGACCTCATAAGCTAAGCAGGGTCGGGCCTGATTGGTACTTAGATGGGAGACCACCAAGGAAGACTAGGTGCTGTAGGCATAAAAAATAATAAATAAATACATAAATACATAAATAAATAAATAAATAAATGAAGTAGATATTGTATGCCAAAATATCTCAATAAAGCTGTATTTTAAAATTTGAGAACAAAAAGTTGCGGGGAGGTAGGAATGGAAAGAGAATGAATTCTCGGGCCTGTCTTGCAATTCTTGCTCAAGGACACCAATGTCTGATTGTAAGATCATTTTTCAGTATTTTGCTGGAGTTGTAACTGCCGGTATGGTCTATCAGCTCAACTTTCTAGTCTTATGTAGAACTGGCCAAAGAAGTCTATCACTTCAGCTTTTCCCGTCTCCTCTTGGACCCAGAATGCAGTTTGGAATTCCTTTCTCTACCTCCACTTGCTGTATGTTTCCTCCATTCTAAATAATCAAAATTTTCTCTCCTTTCAGGCCCAGCTAAGGTAAGATTTATTTCATAGTTTTTCCTATCCATTTCTGCAGAAAGAATTCTGTACCTTCTTTGAGGTTCTCTAGTATTTATTATCTAAATTGCTCTTTTTGACATCTTTTTGCTGCTTTCTATTATTTGCTTTTCATGTGCATGTCTTATCTTCTCAACTAGATTATGAACTTTTTCAGGTCTGGGACTGGGTCATATTTATCTTTGTGTCTCTCCCAAGGCACTTAATAAGTGCTTAATCCAGGTCAACCTTAAAACACCTCACTTTGATAGTCTTTCTAAAGTAATTTCTCAGCCATTATCTCATTTGATCATTACATCAACACTATGAGATTGGAAGAGCTAAAAATATGTTATTTCCTATTTTGACAGATGAGGAACCTGAAGCCCAAGGTTACGCAGTTTGTCAGATAGAGATGGAACAGATACTTGTATGCGAAGGTTGATCCAATGCAAGGCTTTCCCCTGGCTCTCTCCTCTATCCTCCTACCTGGCTTTCCCCTCTATCCTCCTACCTGAAGAAAAGCCAAGGCACCCTTCGTCTCCTCATTCCCCAAGTACTTTAGGGCTGCTTAGCCAAAGCTTTGTAGTACCATATTAGAAAACTTGACAAATATGAGACATGATATTTCAGTAGATTCCTGATAAGCTCTGAGTCACCAAAACACACTTGCTATTTTTTTCCAAGTGCAATTTGTTAGGGACATTATGCCTGATACTTAATGATGCTGCACTACAGAGCTGAGGAAGCATAAATGATTTTTAAAAGCCTTAGAAAAATGACAGCACTTTAATATTAAACATGAAAGGTGGCAGCTGACGAGATGACCAGGGACATAAAAATTCTGCACCAAATCACTATTCCTTTATGTATTGCTGGAATAATTCTCTAGTTGGTACTAAAAGAAAAGGTTAAACTCCCTACCACCCAGCACACCTAGCCTGAGATTCCTTCTCTACCACCCTACCACCCTAGGCTATCAGCTTATTTTCTGATGCAAGAGATAACCTTGGTGCAACTTACTTAGCATCGATTATTATTTTCAAAATAATTCATCTAATGACTAGATTCCATTTAACTTTGAAAAGAGGTTGGGGATGGGGTTTAAGACAGAGAGGTGGGGGGACCTCTTTAGAGGAACAATAACCTTTGGTAAAAGTCCATAGCCAACCTGAGGTCAAGCCCATGGAGGAAGTCAAGGGAATTGTCTCCCTCCTCCCATCATTGTCCCTTTCTCTCCCTCCAACCTCCTTTGGCTGAAACCAGTCAGGGAGTATGGGAGCCCTGAAGTCCTCACAGGTAGTCCTTACTGACTACAAAGGGTGTCGAAGAGCAGAATGTGGACCTGAGGGGTCAAATGGACCACATCTAGCTCTTTGGTCTAGGGGTGGGCAGATGACTTAATCTGGCCAATGAGACTTATGGGAAAGTCTTCTGGATGCTTCTGGGAAAGGTTTTCTTTCTGTACTGTTATAGGAACAAGGCTCTTGCCCTTCCTTCCTGCTTGGGATGCGCTGAAAGGATGTACTTCTTGGACTTCTGAAGCTACCTTGTGACCATGAGAATGCAGGGAAGTGCAAAGAACCTTGACAGCACGGAGTTACTAAAAGCCTCGGAGTTACCACAAGCTTTGGGACTCCCAGCTCCAGATTTAAGCAAACAATAAATGTCCATGTGCGGGGGGAGAGGAAGTGAAGAGAGGTGAATGAAAGATGAGAAATAAACGAGGGCAGAAGAGCCAGGAAGAGGAAATAAATTCAAGAGGAAGCCCAGGGAGGTGGGTGTGAGCAGCAGGTCTAGGAGAGTTCAGACGGCCACTGGATCAGGTTTTGCCTCTGCCAGCCCCGTACCTGAACAAGTCATTTAACCTCCTTGCGCCTTAGTTTTCCCCTCTGTAAACTGGGTAAGATAGTGACTTCCAGGTAGGACTCTGTAAGAACTAAAAGAGGCGAAGCAAGGCAAGCAAAACGCTCGGTATAGTGCCTGACTCATCGTAGGCCCTCAATAAAAGTTGGCAAACGTTACCATTTCCTCAATGTTTGCCCTCAGCAAGGGGTAGGCACTCAGTAGAAATGGCAAAGCAGCTTTCCTGAGATCGCTCCCTTTCTCAGCGAAGACTCCAAAATCCTGGGTCTACAGCCGTTGGCGTCTAAAGGCGCGCGCCCGCCGAGGGGCGTGGCCTACCATTCCCGCCTCGAGTGTGGCCCCGCCCCCTCTTCCTTCCCACGCAGCCCCTTTGGCTCTTAGGTTCTTTCCCCTCCCCCGAACTTCCCCGTACGGTCCTCTGGGGCCTAGCTTGCCCCCACCCCAACGCGGGGCCGGTGTGAGAAGTTCCGGAACCTGGGCGCGGACGGGGTCCCGGATGTTGACGCTGCCGGCCATCCAGCCCCAGCCTGCTCCGCACGGCCTCGGGAGCTTCTGCTCAGCCCAATGGTGTGCAGGTTTGCTTCAGAGGGTCGGCGGGCGGCGCTGCGGGGAAGAGGAGCCTGGGAGGGTCAATCCCGCCAGTACCGGGCCTCCGGCCGCCGAGGCCGCCTTCGCCCTTGCGAATCCTTGGCTGCCCAGACGGAAGGGAAGTAGGCGCCGGAGAGCCCGCTCCGCATTTTGATTCATCTCGGGCCCTGGAAGGGTCACATCTTGTGAAAATACCTGTAAAATCAATTTAACGTTCAGTGCATCGTGTAAAGACAGCTCTAGGAATTTTAAAGACGCCTGAGTCAGAACATTTAAATGCTTGGGTCCCTGTAGCAGCGTTTTAATATGTCTGAGTGCAGAGGGTGGAGAATCGAACCTCATTGCCAAACCTTATTCACACTGTCTAACATTAAAAAAAGGGTAAAGAAAAGCACCATAAAACCGAAATGGGTAGTTACCCTAGGAAAAGAATAACAACTGACTTTTTGAAATTTAAGGTAGTTCTCATTTTCGCGTGTGAAATTTGCAGCAGGCTTAGATCAACGATAAACAGTTGCTAAAACACTGAGCTTAACTAAGTAGTGGCTTTTGTTGACACATAGATTGTGTTATTAATTCTTAATGCCTGTGCAAGGCAAGAATCGTTATCTCAGTTTTGCAGGTGGAAAGAAGTTTGGCACAAAAAAAAACATTTCCCTTAAATTCACACAGAACCGGCTGAACTGTAAATTTAGTCCTAGCATTCTGATTCTTCAGCTTTGTCCCCCTGTAGTCCATGTTACAAAACAAATGAGTAGTTACTTTGATGTTACTCATAAAACGAGGGAGTAAACCAAATGTTCTGTGAATGTGAAGTGTTAAATCATAATAACTCTCTATGTCTGTTCTGCTTTGGAGGCCCAGCTGCCCTTTGGAGTTTGATACCTTAGAAGAGGGGGAGGAGTAGAAAAATGGAAAATAATGTCAAGGGAAAATTTTCATCTCCAGAGCCCAAACTGTGCCCATCCTTACTGCCCCTTTGTGTTGATGTCATTCTTTTCAGTGTACTCTATGTTCTGGCAGAACACCCCTCAGCTGCATTAACTACACCTTTCCATTACTCTTTTGGCACTGACATCCTGTCTGTCTTTTTGTCATGCTCTTTCCTCCAGGTGATCTTTACTAATGCTGTTATGTGAAAACCAGTTGTTGTTCAAATGTGGAATAATTTGTCACTCTTGACGGCTCTTTCTGGAGTTAATGGTCAAAAACTACCAACAGATCTTAGATGAAAAGACAAGTTAAAGAAGCACAAGAAACTATAGTGGAATTTAATAGCTGGATGCTTTGGGGGAGAAAGTAGACTTTGATTTCTTTTTTTCCCTTTCCCCAGTTCACTCATAACTGGAAAGCAGCAGCTCACTTTTAACTTAAACATTATGGTGGGGGAGGGGGGCAACCGCTTGTTTAGACTAATTAATTAGAAATTTTTCTTTCCTAAAGAAGCATCTTTTTAGAAGGATTATAACAAATGGAAACGTTTAGGTGATTAGAAAGCAAAATGTTTTACCACTGATAAGTCTGTTTGTCCATAAAATTTGTATAAGAGCTTAGTACCCAGGATGTGTGTTATGGTTCTGCCCTGTAAAAGATATCCTTGAGGTTCCTCCCCAGGTATAGAGAACAGAAATTTGAGCCCAAGGTAGTTTTCTCTGGAGCAGCCAGCTAATTTATTCATCTTCCCCCCCACCCCCCACCCCACTTAGTTCCACAGATAAGAATCCCAAGAAAAAAATCAGATGGCATCTGGGGATTTCTGCTCACCTGGAGAAGGGGTGGAAATACTCCAACAAGGTAAAGATAGTCATTTGCAAGAGGCTTAATGACTTATCCAGAGAGGTCTAATCTATGTTCTTACCTTTTATAATAAGAATTTATGATGTTTATGGGTATGATTTCTCTCACAGAAGCCTACGTTTCTAGGGAAATTAGAATACATGAAGATTCTTAAACATTGTCTTATTGGAAAACAGATTATACTGACTTCTGTTTAGCACCTTCCTGTACAATAGACTAAAAACTCAAGATGCTCTCATGCTGTGTGAGCAAGCATATCCTGAAGATAAGGGTGGCCAGCAAAATCTTTAAAGGCTTCCTTTCTACCTGTGACTTGAATTTTCTCATGTCTTGTTCTCCAAAATCTCAGATCCTCCATATATTAAATTCTTTCCATATCTAAAGTCTTTTCTATATCTTAAATCCATCAAGAACTTGAATCTTCTATATATTGACCATTTCCATATTGATCCTTCAATGCCTTTGGGGAGAAAAAAGAGATTTCTTATTCTGTAAAAGGACTTTGAGTATAATGGTCCAAAGAATTAAAATTTGAGTGTTTGGAAAGTACGAGTAAAACGAAAGACCCCAGCAGAAAGCATGTCAGAAAAGAGATGGAAAGAAAGCCCCTTGAGCATAAGGAATAGCGAGAGGATCCCAGTTTCTTGCACTTTTTCTCATGTGTGTGCTCTTCTGCATCCACATGAGTAATTCAACTCTGTTTACAATGAGGAGAATTCGGTTAATTAAATTTTTTACTTAATCTTAGTAAGTGTATACTTTCTCTCAGTCTGGCTTACACAGTTAGAGATCACATCCAAAGTTGGAATTTTACATTCATTTTTTTCCCCCATTCCTCAAGCATTCTGGTTGTTCTGTGTGAATGAGGCATTTTGGGTACTGAGGTGACCCCTACTAAAGGGTCCCTTAGTCTCGATTCTATTTGTCTCATACTTTCCAACTGCATTTCCATTTTCTAAGATCTTAGTTTTATTAGAGACTCATTCCCTAATTCTTGATTAATGTCCTTGTATGTAATATAAATGTTTGTTACTTTGAGTATTGCCTCTAGTTTATTTGTGGATTTTTTTTTTAAGTTTCATCAGATTTAGAAAACCTTCCTACCAAAAACCTAGGGATTTTTTGGAAGTGAATATTAAGCTAAGAGTTATGCTTAAATATATAAATTAAGAGTCCATACTGTCTTTGCTTTTTTGTCCCTATGGGGGACATCCAATTAAGTGTGCAGCAAACAGCTACCTCCTTGTAACCTGAGTGAAGAGGACCTGTTAAAGAACCCACACTTCAGCAGACTGTTGCTGAGTCTCTCGCAACACATGGACGAGAGTGGCTTAAGCCTCTCTCTGGCAAAGGAACAGGCTCAGGTAAGAACCTTGGGTGAAGGGATGATAGGAGGAAGGAAAAATATTCCAAGAGAGGTTCCTACTTGGGATTTTTTTGGTTTTCTAGGCATGGAAGAAAGTTCGACTGCATAAGACAGCATGGCTGAGGTCTGAGATTTTACAGAGAATAATTCAAGAGCTGCTTGTGGACTACTATGTGAAGACACAAGACACAAGTTTAACTTCTGAGGACAAAAAGGTGAGGCAGGAGAGATGAAGTAGGGTTTTGTTACCAGCTATAGGAATGACCAGGCCACCTATGGCTTCATCTGATTATATGATCTGAGGGACATAGAGCTTCGTGTAATGGTTATCAAAAAGAAATGGACTGTAGTTATGGGGAAGAGGTGAGTGTGTTGTCAGGGTTTTGAAAAGAAAGATTAACAGGAAAAGGCACTGGCAGCCGAGAAGGTATCTGAAGGAGGTGACATATTCAAGAACTTGGAAAATGTGTGAAGAACTGGTTTGTGAGGATGGAGGACGGGGAGTGAGAGAAGTTTAATAGTAACCTCTTTTTTGTTTTCATTCTCTCAGTTTCATGAGACCCTTGAACAACGGCTACTCGTGACTGAACTGACACAGCTCTTAGGTCCTAGTAGCCAGGAGAGAGTGATACCTCCACTGCTAGGACTGGAGAAAGCGGACCTTCTGGAGCTCATGCCACCCTCAGAGGTTGGAGACAGGCAGATAGATATTGAGACCAAAGAAGCAAAAGGGCTTAATTTTTCCTATATATTTAAACATTTTTTTTGTTAAGCTTTATCATTTTTATAAAGATGATACATGTTTATGGTGTATCAATACTCAAAAAAAAATGTTACATGGAAGAGAGTAAGAACTAAAATGCTACATTTAGAAATAAAAACATTATTATATACAGATTGACATAAATGGTATTATACCCTTTATGCTTATGTAGTATAATATGTTTTCACTTAATATATTTTGGACTTTTCTTCAATCGATAAATGTAAAGAAAATGATACTTCCTAAAGCACTCTTAGCACAGTGTCCAGACATAGTTAATGCTCTGTATTCTTATTATATCATCAGTTTAAATTGCTTACAGGATTCCATTTTATGAATGTAGCATAATTTGTTTAACCTTATTGATGGATATTAATTTAAGGTTGTTTCTACATATTCGCTGTTAGAAACCACACTGATACAAACATGCTAGTTCATATGTGTCTTTGCCCTTGTATGATTGTATGATTGTTTCTCAAGTGTTACTGCTCAGTAGAATCACCAAGTCACTGAGTAAAGGATACATACCTATAATATGTTGGTACATATTGCCAAACTGCTCTCCAGAAAGGTGATTACAGTGTCCCTAGTTCCCCATGTTTTCATCAGCCTGGGATCTTGACAGTTCGATAGGCTAAAAAATCTCTCTTATGTCTCTTAATGCATTTCCTTTGGTTATCATTAAGATTGTTATCATTGTGTATTCATTGGGTACATCTTCCTAGTTCTAACAGTCTATTTGCATCTCTCTTTTTGCTTCTGTGGCTGTAGGATTTTGTGTGGATGAGAGCTCGACTCCCACTAGAAGTGGAGGAGCAGCTCAAGAAAAAATGTTTCACCTTGCTCTGCTACCACGATCCCAATTCGGGTGAGTGCCGGCACTCTGTGTTCTGTTTGCAGCTGGCCTCCAGGGTTCCTGGGCTGCTCTGTTGAGAACAATGTATTTGAATGTCAGATTTGGGGCAGAAGCTGGGAAGCATTGGAGACATTGGAGATGCTTATTTGTGTGTTTCCTCACTGGTAGAATAAAAATAAGGAATTTCGTGAGTGCTCCTTTTATTCGGTGAGGTGCCAAGCTGGAGTGTCCTCTTGCTGCAGGGAAGGATGAGTTCGTTCTTTTCAGGAGAATCAGAATGGAATAGGGAAGAAAATTTTCCTTATCTCTATTTCTATGATTTAAGAAGTAAGGGCCAAATCTGGAATTAAAGTTAAGAGTGAAGAGAACATAATTCTGAGAACTGGCCGTTTTTAACAGGACATCAGAAGAAAACCTGGAAGAAGACAGGATTTGTAGGGCTAGATGTAGGATAGGGGCACTGAAAAATGGCCTTAAAAGGGCCGTAGCAACTAGGGTTTTCCTGTCTAGTACTCTGTCTTTTTGCCCAGATTCAGATAGTGAAACCCTGAAGGCAGCAAAGGTGTGGAAACTGGCAGAGGTCCTCGTGGGTGAGAAGCAGCAGTGCCAGGATGCGAAGAGCCAGCAGAAGGAGCAGATAGTGCTGCTGGAGAAGAAGAGTGCCACCTATTCCCAGGTTGGTCAGAGCAGTGGGGTAGCCTCCTCTCTTTTACTCTGACCCCAGGGGCACCTTTGGGGAGACCAAGGATTTCCGATCTGTCTTCTCTACTATCTTATCTTTACACTGTCTTCCTCCTGCCTCCTGGGGCTCAGGTGCTTCTCCGCTGCCTTGCGTTGCTGCAGAGGCTTCTTCAGGAGCACCGGCTGAAGACTCAGTCTGAGCTAGACCGCATCAATGCCCAGTACCTGGAGATCAAGTGCAGTGCCATGATCCTCAAGCTGAGGTGAGCTATGACTCCTGTGCATCTAAGGGATGCGTAGCACTCCCTCTAGCCCTTGCCTTCATCTCTCCTCCCTGCCATGCCTAGTACCTTGTGGGTATCCAGTAAACGTCACCCTTTGGTATTAGCCTTTAGGGTACCCCAAAGCTTTTAATATTCTTGAGTCTTTTATTTTAAAGCTTTCTGAAATCAGTGCTTGACTGTGAGATAAATTGCTCAGGAATTCAGAGTGACCTTGTTTATCCGGCCACTGTTTAGCCCACCCCTTGACCATGGGCAGGTACTGTGTTCCATCCTAACTCTGCCTCTGTCCGCGATCCTCAGCTTGACATTTGTTTCTTCCCTCTGTCAGGATGGAGGAGCTAAAGATTTTGTCTGACACTTACACTGCTGAGAAAGTGGAAGTTCATCGTCTCATTCGGTGAGAACTCTGAAGAGCTTGGTATAGCTGTTCAGAGCTGGTTCCCACACTCTCCAGACTCATTCATTTGAACATGTTCCCATTCTTGTCTGCTTTCTGAAAAGCAGATCCTTAATATTTTATATTCTGTGCCTGGGCTCTTAGGGACCGTTTGGAGGGGGCCATTCGCTTACAAGAACACGACATGGAGAAGTCCCGACAGGTCCTGAACACCTATGAGGTACTTGGAGACGAATTTGACAGGCTGGTAAAGGAGTACACCCAACTCAAGCAAGCAACTGAGAACAAGCGCTGGGCTCTCCAGGAGTTCAGCAAGGCCTACCGCTGAGCATTGGCAGGGCCAGGGGGCACAACTTCTACATAGGCGCTGCCTTCTCTTCCTGGTAAAAGGACCACCTCCACCTGGGGCAACCTTTGCTCAAGGGAGTAAGGGGACACTTGCTTGAATTACTGCAGTCATTTAGGCACCCTCCTGGTTTTTCTTCCTTGTTTATAATGACTGAGACTTCTGGAAAATGTAGCTGATTTATGTCATTTTATGTACAGCTATTTTTCACTGTTGGCCCTGTATTATATTTTATTATCTTCTGAATAAAGTAATAATATTGTGTCTTAGGATTTTAGTCATTTTCCTTTGGGCAGGGATGGAAAAAGAACACTGAAGTTTGTGTGGGTAGGAAGGGAGAACTGAGTGGATCCAAACAGAGACAGATTTACAATGTTTACACAAAGGGTGAGAGGTAGAATTACCAGCCTGACCACCTGGAGTTTTTGAGGCTTCATTCTTTGAGAGCTAGAGTGAATTAAAACTGGCTTACTCTTGAAGAACTACAGTCTCCAGAGGAGTGCTAGATGTTAAGGCAGGTGGGGAACTATTCTGTCACTGTGGCTCTCAGTGGGGGGTGTTATGATAAAGCAGCTGGGCATCCCGCTCTTGTTACAGGAAAGGACACGAGCCACTTGTACTCCTGGTTCCCTCTGGTGTGGTTTGAGGGTTAATTTCTCCAAAAGCAGGGGGTGGAAGGAGATCACCCTGAGGAACCAAGTTCCATGGTCTACTTAGCTTAGAACAAGGCAGGGTCCTGGCTGGTATCAAAGTCAGGGACTGAGCAGAAGCAGACCATTTTTACTTAGAAGAGTCTACTCAGTTTGTCAAAGCACTTTCAAGGCATTCTTCTAAGATCAAATAATGATGGTCTTGGATTGATTTCAAGGAAGAATTAAGGTCTTTGACTTAACTTTAAATTTTTCCTTACATGATGCTTACTACCATTTATCTATGAGCAAATGTTGGCCCACACAGAATGAACAAATAGTAAATAGATTAATGGAAATACTGACAGATTCAATATTGCTTAGTTCTATAGTTTATTTTATCCCAATTTTGGGGGCGGGGGAAGTTTTCAAACCTACAGAAAAGTTGAAAGAATAATATAAGTAACAGTATACTCAACCTTTATTAAATAACTGCAACCATTCTGCTTTTCTTTCCCTCTTTTCTCTCCCTCTTCATCCTCTCTCTAGATAAAGATGTAGTTAGTTACACAGACTTATTTTTCTGAACGTTTTATCGTAAGTTGCAGGCATTATGACATTTCATTCCTTAAATAAGTAAGCAACTCCTAAAAATAAGGACACTCCCCTGTATAACTAATAAAATTAGTACACTTAAAAAAATAATTTTATAATATTTATTATTGAGATCATATTCAAATTTCTCCAATTTTTTTCCTGGTCTAGGGCCCAATAAAGGTTCATGTGTTACAGTTGAATGTTAGATTTCTTTAATTTCTTTTAAAATAGAACATTGCCCCCATTTCTTTTTTTTAACAAAATTGACTTTCTGAAAACTCAAGATGGATTACCTTGTAGAATGTCCCATTGTCTAATTGTTTCATGTGATGTAATTTGTTCCTTTCCTGTTCTGCCTAATATACTAGCCACTAGCCACATGTGGCTATTAAACTTTCAGGATGTTAGTGATTACTATATTAGTGCAGATACACAAAATATACATCATTGCCAAAAGTTCTGTTGGACAGTGCTATAAGCCTACATATTCTGTAAACTGGATATAAGTCTACAGGGTTTTTAAGATTCAGGGTAAACATTTTTGCAAAGGATACTTAATAGATTACATTACATACTTCACATTACATCACCCCAGAGCCACATCAGGTCATAATGTCTCACTATTAATTATGCTTAGCTTGATTGCTCAGTTAAGGTGGTAACTGCCAGATCTCCCTAGTATATAAAAGTACATTTTCCCTTTGTAGTTAGTAGCATCTGGAAATGAACATCAAAAACCTCAAAATAGTTCTTCCTGGTATTTACTATTGCATTCAGCATTTCTTCATTTAACTAGGGGCTCATGAACCATACTAGGTTTTGGTATTTGAAATAATAATTTCATTGAAAAAAAAATTACTGAGCTTCTGAATGTAGTTTGGTAGAAAAAAAGTCTTTTACAACAGTTCTATGATGGGGGGAAAACAGCACAGGGGGTGTTTAGTGCCACCTGAAGGGAGCACTACAGTGGTTTGTCTGGGTCCTTTCATTCTTCACACTGAAGAGATGGAAGGTTTGCAGTAGGAGTCCTTCACATGTGCTGTTGTCTATTGTGGAATAGAAGGGAAGACTTGGAGGGCAAGCAGAGAGTATATGTGATCGTGATTGCTGAGAGTTGCCATCTTGGCCCTCAGCTGCCCTCTCTCTCACCCTCATACTTTTCAGAAAAGATTTACATCTGCCTCTCCATTCTTCCTCAGTCATCTCTCTCTTCACTAGTCTTTTACTACATCTGATCAAGAAGCAAGTCTTGATGATCCTTCCTCCCTAATGAGAAGCAAAGTAAATCACCTCCAGAACTTACGATAGGATTGCTCTCTGTAAGGAAACTCTGGGGCTCTTGGACAAATAAAATCTATCCCCTTGAGGTTCTCCGTGAAGGGTGAATAGCGGTGGTCCCCTGGGGATTGACCCTGCTTTTTTCTCAGCTTTCATAAATAGGAAATCCAACACCCTTTAGAGGCCAGTCTCATGATCCCCAGAGGGGAATCCCTGACGTCCAGCCCCCCTGTGGGGCCTCTTGCCCCATGAAGAGTCTTCTTACATTACCCATCCTGAATGATCGGAGCTAGGTTTTGTTAAAGGAACTGGCAATAGGGTCTCTTTCTACCTTGAGACAGTGAAAATGAGTCAACTCATCATAGATGAGATTAGCAACCTGTAGAAATAATTTACCCTTAAAAGTGCTTTATATTCGAGTGGTCGAGGTCTAGCCAAAGTGGCTAAGTAAGTTCTGATCTCAGAAAAATATAACCGAAATTCAGAGAAACCTACATGTACTAAGTCTGCCTGAAGAAAGAATGTGTAACCAAAATAAATGATCAGATGATCAGTCCAGAGTTTAGAAAAGGGTTATCTAAATAGCAAGGTCATGGTTCTCTAGGGAACAGAACCTAATATATATATAAAATGAGATTTATTTTAAGGAATTGGCTCACCCAATTGTAAGACTGGCGAGTTGAAAATCTGTAGGGCAAGCTGCAGGCTGGAAACTCAATGCTGGAGTCTTGAGGCAGAATTTCTTCCCTAAACTGTTTTTGCTCTTAAGGCCTTCAACTGATTGGATCAATCACATTAACCAAGGTTACTGTACTTGAAAAAAAAAGAAAAAACCAAAAAGGTTACTGTACTTAAAGTCAACTGATTGTAGAGGTTAACCACACCTATAGAACATTTTCACTGCAATACCTAGATTAGTGTTTGATTAAATAATGGTATTATCAGCTAGCCAAGTTGACATACATAAAACTAACCGTCTCACAGGTATTCTGGTTTTCATCTATACCTAAACCTGTTTCAAAGAGACATTGACTTGGAGATATAAGTTAAGTTACTGGAGAGAGGGGCTACACCTGGGGGCAGGAACAAGGCTTCATTGCAAGCTCTCTCCATAAAACAAGAGCTTTGAAACTTTATTAGGTATCAGACATGATTTCTTCTTTCAACGCCTATAGCACTTGATATTCCTAGGTGGTCTCCCATTCAAGTACTAACCAGGTCCAACCCTGCTTAGCTTCCGAGATCAGAGACATCGGGCATGTTCAGGGGTCATGGCTATAGACTCAGACATGATTTCTAAGCACACTGCATGTAATAAGTCATTTAATTATCACAGCAAACTTCTGAGATATGTACTATTATCATCTCCATGTTACAAACACAGAAATAAAGTAAGGCGTGGAGAGATCAGGGAACTTTTGCAATGTCACAAAACTTTAAGTTGAAGAGCCAGGACAGGAACCCAGGCAGTGTGGCTCCAGAATCTGTTGTTCTGGGACCCTCTGAAGCCTTGGATCCAAATATACACCCCTTCAAGCAACATCATGTTTATTGATTTTATTATCCCTGACTATGGGATGCTCCATACATCAGATGACTATCCCTGCCCCTGGAAAGTGCAATCCTCCATGTACATGCAGTATAAATACTGGTCTCTGGTGAGTGTCGCAGGGAGTTGGACATAAGCGCCTGCTAACAACTGGAGGCTCTGGGCCTTCAAAGCTGGGGCAAGGCCCTGAACCAGAAGACCTCACCAATGTCCTGCCATCCATGAGTCCAGCTGGCATGGCCAATGGGCATATTTCCCCTGCCACTGCCATACCTTTCTCAGGTTCTCATTGTGGGCCCTATAAATTGTCCTAACTACCCCTCTTTTCTTCCTATAAACCACTGCCAGGCTGATTTTTATGATGATTCTGATTTACTTTTCATAAGTATTTTGTAATTTTTCACTTCATTTTGTCATTTCTCTGTTCACAACACGTCAGGTCTCCTACTGCACACCAAACGCAGTCTCTGTGCATTGAGGCCCTCACAGTGCAGTTGCACTTTGCAGCCTTTCCTCCACCACTTACACCCTCTACTCACCTGAAGCTGCCTCCATGAGCTTACTCACCCTTTCATGCTTTCCTGTGCCTGTTTAGGTTTTATCCACCTGGCAAGAACTCTTCTGATCAGAAAATCCTATCATTTTTGAGGCGCGCCTCAACTTCTGCTTCTCTATTATTTGGAATGCTAGGAAAGGTCTCACTGTGATTTAAATCCTCACAGCAGCACTTTGTTACAACTTATTCGTGGTGCTTGTCATGCCAGGCATATTCAAGCCTATCTACAACATCAGAAGCTCCAGGAGGGCAGCGCTGGGCAAGTAAAGCAGGTGTTCTCTATCTTTTTGATCGCAGGACTCCTTTGTTCTCAATGACTTTTAAGGACTCCAAAGAGCTTTTGTTTATGTAGGTTTTATCTATCGATATTTCTCATATTAAAAATTAAAACAGAGAACATCAATGGCCTTTTCCTGAAGGATATCAGAAAAAAATTATTTAGAAAAAAAATTATTTGGGCATAAATGTTTCATGAACATAACTCTCTGTCAAGATGGAGTTATGCAATATCCAAGTTCCATTCAGTCACAACTGCTTTGATCTTTAAATATGACCTCAATTAGATTTCAATTTCATGGAAGCAATACTTAGTTCCTTGTGGCAAACATAGAACCAAAAGAGCTTTATGTATCATGTCAGAGAGAAGGAGGCAGCAAATAAT